GCCCGAAGCGGTTGCCCTGCCCGTCGCTCAGGCGCCAGTACGAGATGTACTTGCCGGGAACTTCAGGCGCCTTCATCTCGCCGGTCCAGACGTCGATCTCCTCACCGGGCAGGACACGGCCAACCTTGAAACGGTCGCCTTTGAGGCCGAGGCGGTCACCGGCGACGAAGATCACCTCCGTGCTTGCGGGCCAAGGAGCGGGACCGTCGTTCACCATCGCCCAGCTCTTGACGAACTCGGCACCGGGAGGGAAGACCTGACCGTCGGGGATGTTGTTATCGGCGACGAAGGCCGCGCGCAACGGAGCGGGAGCGCCAACGACAGTCGAAGCATCGTCCGTGACCATCGACAGCGGACGCGAAGCCTCAGAGGCAAGCAGAGAGGTCGGACGCGAGTCCATCTCGGGAAGTGGGCCGGAACGGCGAACCTGCTCATAGCGAGAAGGCTGGACGAAGCTGCGAACAGTGCGAGGAACCACCGGCGGTGGCGACGCGAGCAGCGAGTGCGTCGAGAGTGGCGACGGCTGAGCGGGTGCCACAGGCTCCGATGGCGAGTCGATGCTGTACGCGGGGACGCTCACGCTACTCGGAACGCTCGGAAGGGAAGAGCGAGGGAGCGAGACAGCCGCAGGCTCGCGCTGCGTCATCTCAACTTGCGGCTGAGGCTCCTCTGCCGGCGTCTCGATAGACTCTGAACGTTGGACCTCAACCTTGACCTCGATCGGGGTTGGGATTTGCTGCGGCTGAGATTGAACAATAGGGCTCAAGACCGGGGGCGTACGGAAGCCCGCGCTGTGAGTCTGTGCCCAAACATGGCGGAACTGAGCCGCCAGGTCGAAGAGCTCGGTAAGGTCGGTGGGTGGGACATGCGGCAAGCTCATGCGCGACTGGACGCTGGGTGTGCCGGTACCAGTCGTCGTGCCGGTTGTGCTCTCTTTCTTCTCAACCTCCTCGGTCTTCATCTGCTCCGGCTCCTCGACAACAGCGGCAGGTTCCTCAATCGAGCGAATGACCTCGTCAGCTTGCGCGATAGCGTCCTGGGCATACGCGAGCATGCGGTCGACCTCATTTGCGGAGGAAGCACGCGGCGCCTCTGTGGGGACCTGCGGGAACACCGGAGTGCGAGCAGGCGTGACGTAGGGACTTTCGTCTTCAGAGCCCGGGACGACAAGTGGTTCCTTTGTCACGATAGCTTCAATGGCAGGGGGCGACCGCGACGACGCCGAGATAACGGGCGACATAGGGAGACCACCAGGCATCGTGGGCGCGAGTTGAATATGGCTAACGGGCGCAGGTGGCTCCTGTAAACAAAAAAAATGTTAGTTGAGATCAACAAGATACAGGTCGGGTGCATCACCTCAATGGACTCAGAAGAGGTCATCTCAATGACCGGCAGGAAGCTGGGAGGGGTTGGCAGACGCGGAGCAGGCGCAACTGGAACGGGTGGCGGTGGCGGAACTTGATATGCGGGAGCAGGGGGCGCACGGAAGAGGCTGATGGGCAGGTCGGGAGAGCGCAACTTGAGGAACGCGTGGGTGGCCGGATGCACTGGGTGCGGGAGCGCCTCACAGCGTTCGCAGAGATCATAGTCGGGGCACGACGGATGCATGCACTTGTAACGTACTCCACGGATCGTGTCCTTGCACTCGTCGCAGGATGCATGGTGCATCTTCGAACGCGACGAGCCGAGTATATTGCGATACTGCTTCAGAGCATCTGGGTCCTTCACCTCTACGAAGCCGTGGCCAGGGTGCTGCTCGCCGACGATGGTGAAGCACGAGGCGCAGGCATCCCAGTCTGGGCAGTCGAGGCATTTCTGAGTCAAGTCTGATCAGACTTTGTTTGACGAGTAACGTGGAATTCACACTTACGAAGCGAGAACCGACAATGCTTGAGTCGCAGAGATCGCACGTCGCGCGGTGAGTTGCGGGCTCCTCCGGAATAGAGGTGGCAACCGCGATACCAGTGTGCTCAACTGGTCCAGCGGCGGGCAGCGTAGTCTCTGCGCCCTTGAACACAGTGTGAAGCCATAGATCGCCGGCTTCCTCAATGGGGAAGAAGATGTGGTTCGGCTGATGCCCACCAATTACATGAGCCTCGCCTGCGTTGATGGTATTTGGCCTAGCGACGCGGGCGGCGGTCAAGCATGGCGTGCACAGATCATAGTCGGGACAGTCAAGACACTTGTGGCGAACGCCTTCGATCGTCTTGTCGCACATATCGCAGCGGACGGTGGTATGGACAACTTTGGGACCCTCGGTTACGACAACGGGCTCCGATGTAGCGGGCGCGACAGGCCCGGCGGTAGCAGCAGGCGGGGCCTCGCGAGTCTCGACGACCGGCTGCTTCTTCTGTTGACGCACAGCCTCGATCACTTCCTTCATGCTGTCGCGGAATTGTTCAAATTGGGACTGCATGGCAGACAGCTGAAGGGCAGCCGAAGTCGCCTTGTCTGCGGCCTCGTCCGCACAAACGGATACAGATGGCACGGGCTTGCGAGGCATGTGGTGGCGACGCGCGTTCATCTCCTCACGGCGTGAAGCCTGGCGTTCGGCCAATCCTTGGACAGGGCCCCGATACGACGCGAAGATGTGATCGACGAGCGGAACAGCGGGAGTGGTCTGGCGGACGGGGTTTGCAGATGTCTTGCCTTTGGTCTTGTCCTCAATGCTGGCAGTAAACTTGACGCGATGAGCCGGGCGCTTTCCCTTATCAACGCGCACCGGTATCTCAAGCTCATCCGAACTGTCGGCCTCAATGACAATAGCCCTCCCCTTGGCGTCGTTCTTTGTAGTCGACGTGGAAGGCGCCACAACGGGGACGGAGGGATCGGCATTCTTCGGTTCTGCGACGTTCTCTTTATTCGCTTCGGCGGGCTTGATGTCGTCAAACGACCAAGGGTCCCAATCGAACCTGAGACGCTTAGCGCGAGCTTGCTCCTCCTGTTTCTCGCGGAGCTGCCGCTGAGCCTCGAGCAGAGCCGCGCGACGCCTCTCTCGGCTCTCGGACGTCGCGAGGTTTGCATCCGTAGAGCGGCGCTCTAATGCACCCCGCTTATCAAGCGCCTGAACGAATAGCTTCGCCAAAGCCGAGGTCTCGGCAGCGCCACGCTCGGTCGACTCGCGCAAGTAGTCATCAAGGGACTGAGCCTTTGAGGGCACTCCTCCCGCCCACGAATGGCGGTTGGCGTTCATTGGGTGTTGTTCGACATCAGGCTCGGGACGGCTGCGGCGAGCAAGACGCTGAAGGAGATGACCCTGCGCAAGGCGATTCGACTCCGGCGACTGCTCCGGGCGCGCCGGTACAGGTGGGGGCGAAGTCGGGATGAAGGACATCCAATCGGCCACAGCCGGACGTGGAGGCGGGGGAGGGGGGACCTCGGATTCACGGAGGACTGGCATAGACGAAGCTGGACGCAACGTGTGGATCAAGGGGTGAGGTGGCGCCGGCACATCAGGGTTGTGCGCGCGCGGAGGGGCAGTCGCAGGGATCGGAGGCGGCGGCGGGAGCCAGCGCCAAGGGGATGGCGGCGTATCACGGCTGTTGCCGAGGCCATAATACGGGTGCTTAGCCGGGTGGAACGCGGGCGGATGAGGGAGTTCGCGAGTGCCCGACGAGCGGTTCTCGAGGTCAGGCCAATGCAAGCGACCAGTGTACGCAGTAGAGGACCGCGAGTCGAGCAGACTGCGCAGCGCGCGACGGCCTTCCGGAACTGCCGGCCCGGTGATATCCAGAACGGGAGGTTGCGCGTCCTCGCTCGAGTCGGCGCCAGTCGCCGTGTTCGTCTCCTCCGTGCTGACAGAGAGCACACTGGGGAGCTTGAGCGACGACTCGTCGAAGACAGAGAAGCGGAGCAGCGCGCCGGGCCACTGCTTGCCGCGGTACGGCTTCACGTGGGTCTCGTACTCGTCCTCAGAGTGGACCTCGACGCCAATTAGGAGGCGCGCGCTGTTATCACCAGTGGGAGAGAACAGGAGCTTAGAGAGATATACGTGGTGACCGATGGGGAACACCCTCAGGAGCTGACATAGGACGGGCTTGCGTCAGCGGCGGCAACGGGGGCGAATCCTAGGATAACCCACCTGGTCCTGCAAGGCGCGATAGGACGGAAACTCGCTCGAGTTCGTGAACACGAACTTGCGAGTCTCCGAACGGTATGTTGCTTTGATAGTAAACATTGCGGATGGTGGTGGTGGCACGAAGAGAGAGCTTCAGCGCGGGCTCCAAGATACGCGCACCCGCACAAAATAGGGGCGCCGGCCGCGAGTGATTCGCTTCTCACGCCAATCCACCGCCTCATGAGGACGACCGCCATCTTGTTTGTGGCGTCAGTCGTCTCCTCCCCGAGTACCGGCTTGCCGTCTTGCCAAACCTAGAGCGGCGAAGAGCTAGGCCTGTGCTTGGTACTCGGCTCGCGCGGCAAATATCTTGTTCAGAAAGAAAGGACAACCGCCAAAGTACAGCAGTCGGACATCTGGCTGTTTTCATCTTAGATCCCTTGACGCGCCCAGTGACTGCATCTTCCATTCTGTAGAGATCTACATATTCGGCTGTGTCTGGTTATCTTCTCTGCGCATCTGGCTGTTCCGCGCTCTTTCTGATATGGTTACCGAAACGGAGACTCCCCCCAAAGACCTACGCCTCATTACTGCTTTGCGCTATGACCGCGCGCTCCTACGATGCGACTACAACACGTCTCTGAATCGTGGGCGATCCAGTCCCTATCTGCTTCTACCATGTCATCATGAGCGACTCCTTTCGGCCATGGAGGCTCACGGGCCTGGTTGGACTTCTGCTGCCGGAAGCCTAACACCAGAGGTCGTTCGAGATGCATGCCAGCGCGCCGTAGATCAAGCCGGCGAAGACAACGGACCATACAAGGTACTTAAAATACCGTTATGCGCCTTAGCTGCATCTGTATTGTCTTATATCTTCAACAACAGGTCCGACTGGCTCTCGCTCCCGACGGCACATTGGACGCCTCCGCCACTCGCGTCCCTCCTCTTGCAAGTCCCAGCGATCCCTTTCGTATAGCAGCATTGTCTCCACTTTCCAACGATTTTGCAACATACCAGCATCCGCCACTTACGCTGCACCTCACTCCACCATCAGACCCAACAGTCCCTTCACTCTACACGCGTACCAAGACTACTCATCGCACACCATACGACATTGCGCGAGCACGCGCCGGCGTTACCTTGGGCGCACCGACAGACGTACTTCTTTTCGACGAACAGGATCGATTGATGGAAGCGAGCATTCGCAATGTTGCTTTGTGGCGCGACAACCGCTGGCTTACTCCAGCCGACGAAGTTGGGTGCTTACCGGGCGTGGCGAGACGATGGTTGCTCAAGCATGGGTGTATTGAGGAGGATGCACAAGCAGTACTAAAGCGAGATACTCTACGCGACGGAGAGATCGTGCTCACTTTCAATGGGGTGGAGGGATGTCGATATGGTCATATCAAAAAGGGGTCACCAATTGCCATGTGACGGCCAACGCGGTAGCCTACCCTGGAAGCCCAAATATACAGCATTGTGATGTGGCACTGAGTGTCTATAACATCGTCACCTGCTACTGTGTGAATCTTCCTCCGCACGATTGTGTGCCTTCTCTTTCAGCCTCTTGCATCTCTTGCCATGACCTCCCTCCTTCCAGTCTCTGCGCGCGAATGCTAAGTCAAGACGCGATACAACGAAGGCTTGCAGCAAGCTTACCTTTTCTGACATCCTTTGCTACAGTAGCGAACTTCCCCACAGCCGGCGCAAGCACGTGTCGCCGTCGGGGGCTTCGCTTCGTGGAACTGGCATTCTTCCCACGCGCACAGCGTAGCCGCCCTCCGCTCATAAGCATCCTTCTCACTTTCCACCTCGAGACCCAACGAGTTGCCCAGCTCTATCCAGTGTCCCAATGGTTGTACGGCCTTGCCGAATGGCGCGCCTCGCGCGTCATACTCTACCATCGCATAGAGATCGCGGTATGTCGGATACCAGTGCGCTTGAAGGGAGCGTTTCATTGCATACAGAAGCTCTTCGCGGCCTCCGCGAGCCCGTGAGCCACCTGCGACGGTGATGTACATGTCGATGATGTTCAGTATGGTCTCTGTCAATCAAGCTCGGGTGTCAGCCACGACGCAGGTTGATAGCAGTTCTGGTAAGCTTACGGTCGTCGGGAAGACTCTCAGCGGCTGTTGCGTAGGCGATAGCCGACTCGGAAATGATGGCGAAGATGCTATGGCCGCGGAGCAAGGCTTTCGCAGTACGACCCGCCGGCGCCAGAGTAACAAGGCGTCTACCGTTGGATTGAGCCACACTTCAATATGAGATGCGAGACTCCACACACTGTAGTAGAGTGATGCCACTCTGTTGCACCATCCACTGCGCGTCGGGTGGAAGAGCGCGGACGAGGTCCCCGTCAAGGACGTCGCGTATGCTCTGCAGTAAGCCGGAGGATGCGAAGTATCGCTTGCATTGCGGTCGAACGGCATACTCCCTGATCACGTCGAGCGTGTCCCTCGTATCCAGTTCGTAACTTCTGCGTGGGATTGCCTGTGATACCGCTCGCAACGCCAGATCCAGATTGGAGAGGAAAACTTCGGCTCCGTATTTTGCATACACTTCTCGGTCGAGAAAAGCTGAGAAATCATCGGGTGTCAATCCCGACCGTCCACTATGTTGTGTGAATAGAGCGACCAGTATGAAGAGCATGTGCTGGGTTTCAGCTTCTGGAGGACCCTTGATCATGGTCGGGATGAGCCAGATGAAAACCAGTACACGGGCGAAATGCATGTATGCTTCACGCCCGGGGGACTCGCAATGAGTTACCTGGCTGGTACATCTATTAGTTCAGGATTCAGAGTTCAATATTGGGCTTGGCATCTAACCTCAACGCGATGTATTCGGCTGCAAGCTGTGCCAGTACTAAGATTGCGAGACAGGACTCCACGTCGGGTGCGTGGTAAACAAGATAGAGAGGTCGTGCCTTCTTCACCAGAAGATTACGTTGAACCCAGATTTCCTCCCAAAACTTCTTCAGCAATGTCAGAATGCCGCAATTGACGTCCTCACGCGTGTGCGACAGATTCAGAGGTTCCCGAGAGCACCAAAGAACCAAACCGCGTAGAATGTGTGTGAAACACGGGATCGCTTGCTATGACGATGAGTTCGACGTTCAGTACAAGTGAGGAGGGGCGTGAGCGTACCAATATGAAGAGGCAGTCCAGCATGCCCAGAAGGATCTCCGGTAACCCACCCTCCACTAGTTGTCTCCAAAGCTGGTCTACTTGCGACGTGCTCTCAGGTGGAGGCCCATTCTGTCCGCGGGCACACCCATCGGCGAAGTAATCGCGTGCGACAAGCTCAATCGAACGCAGACAGTCCCACAACTCGATGTTTGACGCGTCATCGTCGGCATCCACCGCAGCCAGAATCTTGAGAAAAGTGGCAGGTGACTCGCGCACGAGTCTTGCCAGGTGGAGTCTCCGTCGAGTATGATGATGAAAGATAGCCTGTATGGTTGGGCAGTCGTTCATGTCCTTGATGCATAGCGAGCTGATCTCGTTATTCGATGGCATATGTGCCTCGTCTAGCGCCACATCAAGCATGGGAAGAGGAACTTTGTACTCGAGATAGTCAACGAGTTTCCTGACGTTGTCTACGCCCGACTCCAGTTTCCATACGAATATCGGCGACAAGATGATAATGCATGTGATAGTCTCCGGAAAATCAGGGCTTAGATCTTCTGGGGGAGTGCCCATGAGCATCTCCGCGGGGAGATCCAGTAACTCAGACGAGATTTGCAGAAACTCGGGCGGAAAGCCGCGTGCGGACATATAGGGCAGAACGCGATCAATCCAGACATCGTAACCTTCATCGTCCGGACCGTGCCTAGACTCGGAGATTGACTGCAAGATCTGAGTTACGACTTGGATATCCATCGCCCAGTACGATGAAAGCCGAGATGTGGAACAGCAGGGCCACTTGAGTAGGAGATGGTCGTCTAGGACAGGAATGGGCGGAAAAGGGACGCTATCAATCACGCAGCCGTTTTTAGGTCCCACGCCTGCCACTAGATCAACCTGACATAGGGAACAGATTTCCTTTTGGCTGGGACATTTACTCGCGGTGTTACAAGGAAATTCCGCCCATCTTGGTTCAGCCGATATCCGAGTATTTGTGTGGTCGGAGTGCAGGCGAGAGTCGCGTCGCAGTCGACGGCGCGGGTATGACGCGCAGTTGATGTGTGGCGCCGCAAATCCCACGGAACAGTGTGTAAGTGCAATGACGGAGTTCACTATGTATATGAGCAATACAGGAAGTGTGCAGTATGGAATATTTTTAATACTTCGACAGAGGCTATGCGTCGACCTCCATACTACTCTCGCTGTCGCTGTCGCTGCCACTACCAAACCCGATCCAATCATCACCGTTTGCCTGGACATCCAGCCCGCCACCATGCACCTGAACCCCCTCGAGTGACTCAAAGTCATCCCCCTCAAGCCCGCCGAGCCCATCCATCTCGCCGAGAATGTAGTCCAGCACGTAGCTTTCTTGCACTAGCCTCTCCGCGCGCGCGAGATGTCGTTCGGTATACGGAATAAGCGCCTCAACAAGCGCCCGTACACCGCCCTCGGCGCCCTCTTTCACCTGCACATCAAGATCGACAAGCTCACTGGGAGCGAAGGCTGCGATGATGTCGTTCGCCGGACGCAATCGTACGAGTGCATGCAAGACGCGCTGTGCGACCGCCGCGCTCGATGCACGCGTGTTCCAATCCCGCACGTATCCAAGTAACCTGGCAACATCGGCCGAAGCTAGGGTTCGCAAGACCTCCGTCACAGCTTTCTCCCTCTTTTCTCCCTCCTCGTCCTGCGCAGCTGCGAAAACATCCCTGAACAACCCCAGAAGCCTTCCCGGCTGCCCCAGCGCAAGCGCCAGTTCGACCGCGCGTCGGTAGTCCCTCAGCTGTACGTAATTCGCGAAGTCCTGCTCCTTGAGCGCTGCCTCGGCCCGAGCCTCCTCGGCCTCGAGCTCAAGTTCCTTGGTGCAGTCTTCCCAGAGGTTTATCAAGCCATCTGCACCGCCCGAGACTAGCTGACCCCCATCGCGGGTTGAAGCAAGCGCCCAGACTTTATCCTCGTGTCCGTCGAGTGTCGATAGGCACTCTTCGCCGCGAGCGTCCCAAAGTTTGACCAGTCCATCTGCACCCGCGCTCGCTATCCTGCCGCCTTTGTTCTGGGCTGGGGCATCTGCGCCTGAGGGTGGGATACCGAGCCACTCGATGCGTAAGACGCTGTTCGCATGCCCCTCCAGAACACGCAGACACGAGTAATCGTCCAGACTCCATATCCTGACCGTGCGATCTCCGCCTCCAGATGCAAGCACGCGCTCGGCTCTGGCAAATCGTACACTCCACACGCCGCGCTTATGCCCTTTACATGTCCCGAGCACCTTCATCTCCCCTCTCGCACCCTTGCTATCCTTGCCAGAGACGAAAGTAAGCGCATACACCTTGACCGTCTTATCCTGCGACGCGGACGCCAAAAGTGCATCATTCGGCGCGACGTCCAGCGCATTGATATCCTTATCGTGCGCTTTGAGTGTGGCAAGGCTTTTCAGCTTGACCGGCTCTGTGTTCTGCTCGACACCCTCAGCCAGGTTGAGCGCAGACAGATCCCACATTTTGATCGTCCGGTCCTGACTACCAGTGACGACGAAGTTGAGGTCATGGCCCGTAGTTTGCCGCGCGAAGGCAAGAGCACCGACGCTCTCCGCATGTCCTTCGCACACCGCCGCGCAACCCCATTCACCCGTTTCGGCGCCGGCTCGGCTTGCCCATATACGCGCAGTACGATCTTTGGCCCCGCTTCCGAGTATCCGACCGGAGCTGCTGGCCGCAAGAGCGAGAACAATGTCTTTGTGTCCTGAGAGCAAACGTGCATCAAGGGAGGAGGCATTGTAGACGCGAATCAGAGATGAGTTGGTGGCAAGCGCAATATGAGTGTCGAGTGTCTCGTCGAAGTACTCTGTGGGCGGTGTCGTAGGGTCGTGTATGGGCGAAAGGAAAGCAGCGTCGATGATCTCGTCGTTGAAACCGACCAGTTGGCGTGATAATGTGCCCGACGAAAGAGAGTAAAACAGCAGGTTCTGGTCGGCGTGTATCGTGAGGATCGTCGATGTTGATGGCACATATCTGGATAGAAATATTAGCGAATGATGAATATAATGGAAGGGAATTGTACGAACATCGCGTCGAGAATCTGTTGCTGCTCTTCCTGACCTTCACCAGCTGGTTCCTGCTCGTCGCCAAGAGTGCAGAGTACTGATCCCTTCTTCGCATCCCATACTCTGACCACGCCCTTCTCCCCGGCAGTATACACCCGTAGCTTGCCGACCCCAGCTTCTACTCCGGCAACCTCCTGTCCCTCCGCGAGCATTCCCACCGCCTCCACTCGTTCGAGGGCAGTTAGCGTGTTGACTAGCACTGGAGACAACCCATCTCCCTCTTTACCCTTCCCTTTACCCTTCTTCCCTCCCTCAAGATCCCACAGCAACGCCACGCCATCCCGTCCACCGCTGATCAACCACCTCCCGTCCGGTGAAACATCCAGCCCTCTCGGTACACTGACATGACCCTCCAGTATTGCTTCGGGTTTTGCCGCCTTCCCTGATTTGGCGAGTACAGCGCCTTTGGCAAGGTCCCACACCCTCACCCGCGTATCCACGCTCGCAGTGACCAAGCGCATGACGCGCTCACCGAGTCCGACGGCTGGAGGGTAGCTGAATGTCAGCGCGCTGACGACGCCACCATGCCCGCGTAATACGTGTGTTGCATGTCCGCGTGTAATATCAAGAATCTTGACAGTTCCATCCGCGCCGCCGGCTGCGAGGTAAGTTCCTGTAGGGTCTGTGCGGCAGACATGTACGGGAGCGTCGTGAGCTTTGGCAATGACACGCGTTGGATGCACTAGAGAAGTCGTCGCAGTCGTAGGAAGGTCGTATATCCTCAGGGCGTTCGAGCCAGAGAATACACAGAGTGTCCGACTATCAGGCGTCAGGCAGAAGGAGTGGATGGTCGAAGTGTCCTGTGTTCCGATTTAGCCTTACACAGCTATGATATGGTAGAAGCAAAGCGTACACCAGCAAAGCGACATATTTGCGTGTCGTCGTTCAAGTCTGTGAGGATGGCCTCGTCAGACAAAGTAGTGACGAGCCAGCGACCGTCCTGCGAGAGTGCTACGGGTCCACCGGTATACAGCGGGCCGACCGTTCGCGCTTTCTTGAACCTATTTTACTAGTGGGTTGTAACGACGCGCTCTTCTATAAGATATGCTGGAAACCTACGCGATTTTTTGTTTTGAAGAGGACGCCATGGCGGGGTTTGAAAAGTCGCGTCTGTATGCACCTCGCGAAAAGTTGTTCGCGCCACGCGAGAATGATGGATCAGCGCGTTCACGTAAGCTGGTCGAGTTGTGTGACTTTGTGGGCGCCTTTTCTCCTGCCTCGGTAACACAAGTCGAACATCCCGGCCGTTGATCTTCCGAGAACGACGACGACGTGCTCTGCTGGCCGTATTTTTCATATCCCGATCCATCCGGCCGGTCCCGTTCCCCCCTATGCACTCCTCGACGATAGCGTGAACAGAGTGGTATTGTATGAGCATGTCGGGGCATGTAAGTACTTGTATGGCCTTGTATGGTACATGAGAACAACTAGAGGGAGAGACATATAGCTGATGAAATAAATTCTCGTAGTACTCCGCATTCAAGAGCTAGCGTCCCTGAAGTCACAAGAGAAGCTGGATATTGTACGATGATACAACCAAAGAAGGAAAGGAGTCCATAGCTCAAAGCGGGTTACCGTCAGGCCCACGGAGCGTCGAGCTCAGGCGGACGTGCATCTCCCTCAACTGGCCCTCGGCGTCACGCCTGAGCCTCTCCTCGTCGCGTCGAAGGGACTCCTCTTCCCTAAGCATCTTCTCCGCCGCCCTCTGCGCTGCCCTGGCCCGAGATGCATCGGCCTGGGCCTCCGCGAGTTGGTCGCTCATCCTCTGCCGTTCTGCCATGGCGCTCGCCTCGCGCCGGCGCATATTGTCCATCTCCTGCTTTAGTCGGTCCAAGATGTTCATGTTCTCCCCAAACGGCCCATGCGTACCACCAGGGCTCACGCTGAAGGGATTCGGTCCAAGAACAAGCCCACTGGGCGGCGGCGTGCCATCATCGTCATCGTCGTAGTCGTCCGCGCGCACGGAGCGCAGGCGCGGTATTTGATCCGGCATATAGTCCACCCCGTCCTCGTACGCGCCACCGTCAATGTTCATCCGGTGCAATCCAGACAGAGATGGTTCAATGTCGTCAATATAATCGTCGCCGTCATCCCTTCCGTTTGCTCCCGCATTAGGACCATCGCCGGGCACCTTGCGTGGACGGCCGCGTCTCCTCGGATTGCCGTCGACGAGAGGCTCGCGGTTTGGACGTCCACGCTTGCGAGGACGCTTCGTGCCCGGTGGCGCATCGAGGTTAACAGTCCAATACGACCCGAAGCCAGGATCCGTCACGGGGCGCGGCTGCCGCTCGAATAGGCGATTCAGCGACAGATGGTGCCGAACAGATTGCTGTTCACGCCGGCGTGTGAAGGAGCAAAGTGCCGTAGGAAGAAGAGAGCGAAGAAGAGCAGAAACAAAAGAGCGTGTCAGTATTGTGCACTATGCTTTAGCGCACGGACCCTAGGATCCAGATACGCATACGGTGGCGACAACAAGAAACGTACCTTCCAAGTCTGCCCAGCAGTGCGGTAGTACGGGTATTTCTCCTCCATGGCGGCATAGATCTCGCGGATAGTCATACGTTTCTTCGGGCTGCCTAGGATCGCGCAGCGGAGGATGATGGGCAGGGTATGCTGCGGTCGGCCATCCGTGTCGGGCAAGCAGTTGAGCGCGTCGGGACATGTTTCGTGTGCATCGTGCTCCCCGAGAGCACCTACGTGGTGCCTATACTGTCCGCCGAGAGGACCTTCCAGAGGTGGGAGCGGTAAAGGGGGCACATGTTGCGTGAGCGGACTCGCGGATACGGACGACGAAGGCAGCGAGAGGTGTTCGCCTTCAGTCAGTGGCGACGCAAGTCTTTGCATATACAACATGAGCGACGGCGAGGAAGAGGTGGGGGACAGGGAGCAAGCGAACCTGGGTTGGTCGAGCCCGAGTTCAGGATTAAGGATGCTGTCAAGGCGAGACATGAGTTGGGTGGTGGGCGGGTTCGATCGACGCGTCTGTGGGTGGCTGTAAGCTACTTATGGGTCCAGCGTGGACCACAGGTCCGGCACTTACGGGAAGCCCCTTGGATCAAGCTATTGTCCTTCAGATAGAGATCCGACGCCCGATCGCACTGGCCGCTTTTTTCTGATAGATCTTATTCTTCTGCGCCCGCTCCAAGCTTAACGCGAAGCTTGCGTCCACATGCATACATCCCATTGTTATCCGAGACATTCTCGGCCTCCGGACCCGCCGCGCGTCGTGGTTCGGTCGTGGTGGCCAACGCATTTCTCTCACCGTCCTCCATTCGCACCGAAATCGACGCTTTCGGCTAGCAATGCATCGAACACAGCATGCATGCATTGATCTTTGCTCGCCAACAATGGACTGTGTGGATAGCGAACCACAGCCAAACAATGGCTGACCGTTCTCTCCATCATGGACACTCTACCCTCCCGCGAGAGCGTCTGGTCCGCGCTCGAGCACTTGGACCCCCCGCCGTCGTACCCAAGCCTTGACAACCTTGCTTCGTACGCGTCAACCGGGGATATCCCGCTCATACTCGACTTTCCCCTCCCTTCCCTTCCCAGCTATGACAGTACTCGCGACTCTCTGCGCTCGGTTCACACCTTTGGTCCCCCACGCGTCACGTTGACTCGTACGGGAGACGACGACGCCGGTAGCGAGAAGATCGACGATTCTCCGCGTACCGCCCCTATACGGCAAGCTCGCAGCGCGGTCACCCTAAGCGACGAGTACGATGCCAAGCATCATAGCCTACCCGCCTCGTTCCTTTCAACATCGTCCTCTGCTAGCTCTGAGTTGCAGGCACTGCTCCTTCCACTCTCTTCGACTATGGCTACATTGCCTTCGCCTCGATTCGCCCCTCCGTCCATCATGAGCTCAGATGAAAGCCGTATACAAAGCCCGGCTCCCTCTACGCCCGAGCTTGAGTCAGAGCACGAGTTTGATCCTCGCGCGAGTCTTCTACGCCCGGGTATCCAGCAACAGCAGCCGCTCAAGTCGAAGCTGCGCAAGGCCGTGAGCAGCTTGGTTCCGCATCCTAGCCCTCACACGCATCTGCATCCACCACCGTCACCGCCTCGCCCGCCTGGACTCGAACAGGCGTCTTCGCCTCCTTTTTCGCACGTGCATGACTCGCCGCGCCTTTCGAAGCTCTTTCATCGTCGTACATCCACAGCAACATCTACACCATCTCCTATCCTCCCGCAGTCGCCTATACCCGAGATAACGCTCAGCACGCTACCCTCAGTCAGTTCTGTCGACGAATGGCGTTTCGCACAGCTTCCCATCGCCCTTGCCTGGCTTAAAGATGCGACTGTTGAGCTTCTCATCGATCAAGAGGGCTTTCGTACCGCGCGACCCGCTTTTGTACTCAAGGGGTACAGCGGTCCTCCGCCACGCGCAGACGGATCCCCGCCATCGCTCACGGATCATCTTACACACGGACGCGCTGATTTCATGCCCGTGGAACGCAAGGAACTCGTATTCCATCACTCGTCGCTCGACGCATCGCCCATACTTCGAAGAGTGCACGTTGGTGCGGATGAGGCCCATGATTATGTCCGTCGCGAAGCACGTCTCGGACTCAAAGGGACGGGCGCATACACCGTACGCGGGACTGAAGCTGTTCACATGCCATCACACCCTCTTCCATTGAATCGAACACATGGGCTACCGAATCTCCCGCCTTACGCGGAACTACCATGGCAGTTTGATTACTTCGTTCATGAGCGCAAGAGGAAGGATGGGCAGCCGTGGAAGGCCGAGGGTGGCGAGAAGGCGTTGGCACCGCTGTTGTTTGCTTGTGCGCCGGGTGTACTCGCACCTGCGCAGGCGAGGAAGGTCAAGATTGTGCAGGTCGTCATGAAGAGTGTGGCGGGGAAACTTGTGGCGGAGAAGATTGCGCCGCCGATGCCAGCTGGTACAGTTGAAGTTAGAAAGGGCAGCGGGGAACATACAAAGGCCGCGAGGAAGACGTACGGGCAGGAGAATGGGGTTTCTGGCGTGCACACGGGCCACCGTCGGTCGCGCTCGCAAGCTCAGGCCGTCGATCATCACGTCTCGGCCACTACGATATCTTCCAGCAGGTCTGCACAGATGCCATCCCGCGCACCGATGCGCGAACTCACAAACGCGCCTCTGCCATCTCTTCCGAGGAACATCGTGCCAAAGGAGCTACTCGCCGCCTTATTTGACGCGCCAGACTCTGGGCGGCCGCTTTCTATGCCGACTCCGCCTTCGCCCGAAAGGCCGCGTCTGCGCCGAGGCTCGCAGTATGGCTCTACAAGAGAGTGAAGATGGATGATACGATTTTCCCAATATGACACGACCCGACAACATGATACACGATGCAACTGCACATTCGCCTCTCTTTGGACTTACATGTACATTAGAACTTTTCCGACGCCCGCCGCGCAACCACCACCACCACCAAAACATACTCGCGACTTGAACTGCACGACCTTGGATTATTCCGGAAAGCCCAACTGTATAACAGCTCTCGTACTTCCCCGATCGCTCTTCAACCACTTGGAATGTAAAGTAGCACCATCGTCGCACCCACCACAAATACTATTGTACATCACATCTTTATATGATGGGTCCTGCATAGAGCCGCATTGGCGAGACAACTTGTGCATTTACGCTCCCTGTCGGATAACCCAGTCCGTAGAGACGCCGACGGCGACGAACCTGGGGAGATATACTATACGGCAGCTCGGAAATATGCTGTTGTTGCGCTTCCATGGCGGCGATGGCTGACAAGGCAGCAGGTGAGCCTGGCATCGCCTAGGTATCGGGCATAACACGCAGTCTGAGGGCCTAATCACGGTTCTGAGTGAGTTACGGGAACAAGGCTGAACAAGGGCGGTACACGGGACGTGCATTAAGTTTGACAGGTCCATGGGCGTTCGTGAAGCGGGCTGGACAAAAGAGGATTAAGCGGAGCACAAAGGGCGACAAGGGACACCCGACAGTCCAAGTAGGGCGGGCTTTAAATTCGTGGTCGCTAGATCCGCAAGTTTATTCCAGTAGTCTCGGTGGTAGTAGCGTAGGTATCTCAGCAACAGGGCTGGACAGCGCGCGCAAGAGCCTGGGCACTATTGGGGAAACACCCCAGCATAACATGCAACATGGGTAGAGTTACGCGAAGAAGATCCGCATAGCATGGCAGTCCGGAAGTATCCAGCCTTCCCTTCTCAATTCGTTCTGAGATATAACCAGAAGTTTTATCAGCGAATGCTCGTCGATGGTGGACGTCCGCGACAGCGTCGGGCTGCGGACGGCCGCGCGCACGTCTGGGCTTCGGGCCGGCGCGTAGACGCGCGTCATATCCGAGCCTACGGCGCCAGCAAGCCCGTCCCAAACCATCATCTCTCACTCCAGCTCTATCCAGGCATAATACTGCTGACTAGTCTCAGGCCACCAAAGACAAAACGGCGCAGCGCCTGCTCACTCAACTGCCCAGTCGGTTTGAGATTCTACTTGTTTAGCTTCGCTGAGGCTTGCGCCGCTTCTTCAGTCGTCCACCTGGCTTCGGCCGCAGCCCGGCTTTTACTTCCCTATGCATACGCTATCGCCACGTCATGCTGTAAAGCCATTTAGGCACTGTCTCAGGACGCTCTCGCGATGTCTGTCCCATACTCGAAGATCTGGGTATCACAGCAAAGTCGTGGCATATCCCTTCAAACTTTCGCCGTCGGCAGCTCTCAACACATTCGCGCAATTCCCCTTAACACCCCATGTACTCAACTCCTTCGATCCTATGAAGCTGCCAGAATATTTTTCCAAACACGGCTTGGACATTCCTAAGGCCACAGAGGAGCAGGCATTGAAACCTGACAAGTTCTCCGCTGTTTACTTTCCAGCTTGGTTTCTCTACGCATCGTTGCGTTCATCAGAGACGAACTCGGGGATTCTTATAAACCGAGCGTATGTACGCTTATTTGTCATGTTTTACTCATGAAGTGTGTTGCTGATGGTTTCTTGCAGTTACGTCCCTGGTATGGATGAAGCACCCTTTCCACCCGTTGGCATTGCACTAAATGACGCGAAATGTAGGCTATCAGCATGACATCCTGTCCAATACATCCTTCAATATACAGCAGGGTATACTCGAGCACGACCTAGATGACCCATCGCCGTGGACGGAATCGTTGCGCACTCAGCACGATACAGACGTATTATGCCTTCCTTATCGCTCCGCACCGCTCTATACGGAGAGCGATTTCGGCCCAGATTCATCAATGTCTCGGGCGCTCAAGGCTACGCGCCTAGACGTTGAATTCGTGAGTCTCAAGACCAGAGATGTACACCAATGCATCTGAGCGCGATATCAGTTGGCGGCGCATCCGGTGCTAATCCCGCTCTACGTGAGTTATACAGCTGCCAAGTCAGAATGGAGATCAAACGCTGACTCTCACTACACAGCTGGCCGAGTATCATGATGTGCTTACGAACGAACCGATGACAGTTGTCATTGAGGCACACACTGTAAGTACACAGCGATTCTTACAGGGGTGCGCTGATTGACTCTCCTCTCCTCAGGATCGGATGTACTGCACAAGGCTCCTCAGAGACGCTACAACTGCGATGATGCAGACCTACTCGTCTTCTTCGCGGATTGCGAAGTGGGTCGGCAACTGGCTCATTAAGTTCGCAGACGATTTCGACAGACAACGGCGGCGCTCTTCAGCCGGACGGCTTCTCCTTTTCGGCGGGAGAGATGCTTACCCTTCTATTCATAGCCTTGTAAAAGCTCAGATCCCGAAGGATGGGGTCGACGGTATCCCAGCACAGGTATTAGGACGCGTAGCGAAGCTTCCGCCAACACATCCTATGAGCGATGACAGTCACCAAGGCATGGAAGACCTACGCGTGAGGCCCTTCACGCGTCAAGCCGGCCGAGAATCCAATGAGTGCGCCCAGTATGCAATCGGGGCATCATTACTAGCCGAAGAGGCCTCAGCCCAGGCAAGTAGCGCTTGTCTCGGTACGAACACGCTTGCTAACCTCTGGTTCGTAGGCTCTGCGTAAGGAGATGGAGTCTGACTTGAAGCGAGCCGCACCTTGGTGGCTGGAGTGGAAATCGACGCATCGCTTCAATCAGAGATCATAGCCAATGCAATTTTCACTTGTGTGGAGAAAATAGTGGAATCGCGATGAGACATTCGTGCATACAGTACTCGTACGCGGCGTGACGCGCTTCGAAGTCAAACTGCAAACTGCCACCCAACTGCTACCTAATCGCCCAGACATTAGCGCGTAGACTGCGTGGGGTCACGGCAGGATATAACTGTCTCCCTTTAAACGCCCACACCGACGCTTATGCCCGTTCTTCGTCCAATGGTGCGCAACATCAAGGCAGGCTGTCGATGTTCTGATATATTGAATGGATAGCTTTGTCATCTTTGTCCCACACTCTCGACTTCCCACGCTACACTAGGCGCGCGAGGATGACGTTACCATAACCTCTTCTGCTTTCCACCTCCATGATCGCGCTCCGAAGTATAGCAGTTCAACCGAGATAATACTCAGCATTCGTCCGGTCCTGCTGACGATAGTATGCGGCTCTGAATGAAAGATGTATAACATGGTACATCGCGCAAGTCACGGCTCCCAGCGAAGCACTCACGACGGTGACGGATGGGCCGCACGCTTCAGGGGACGTGAGATGCTACACTCCGCGAGACACGATGGCTGGTTGAAATTCGGGTGGCTCTATGCGCTGGCTCCATGTCGGCTTCGCACACTTGTGGCTCATTCACACACGACTGGCCCTGTACCCATGTCTAGCCTATATATGTGGCCCCGGCTTACGCCCCTTCGTTACGCCTCTACTTGTCTTGCAGCATGCCTCCTCCGAGAAAGCCCGACCCTACTCATATCTTGTCCTTCACCACCAACTCTTTGCGTAATACAACGGCCTCCGTTGACGATGATACCTTCTTCTATGAAATCGTAACGCGCTTCTGGCACCCTCATCTCACTAAGATCTTCAAGCTCGACAAGGTGCCGTTCATCTCTCACGTGTCCGAGTATAGAGACATACGACTTACTCTGGCTATCTTTAGGAGGCGCGTCAGATGCTTCTAGTCGGCGAAATCGAACGCGAACCCAACCGGGAGCCGCGTGTTCGGATTGGGGGTGAACAGAGCAACTGGATGTCTGTCGATGAGTTCGTTAGGTGGGACCCGGACATGCGGTGGGCCCGCGGTGTTCAAGCTTGTAGGCTTGACATTCATTAACGTATCCTTCCACAGAAGTGGCACTTGGATGACAACTGAGGGCGACGAGTTTCGCTGGAAGAATCACAAGCGGCGGTTGCAAGTGAGTATCTCAGCGTCGCCGTGTTGGGGTACCATCTCTCATGAACAATTACCAGTTGGTGAAAGCAGGCGACGCCGAAGCGGCTCCAATTGCGAGATACATACCTTACACTCGCCACTTCTTCGTTATGCTTCTCGACAGACACGCTGCGCTCGAGGTCAAGGATGAAGCATTGGGCTACATGGATCAGCTCATTAGTCAGTGTTTCTCATCCTGCTATCAGATCCGGTCCTGACTTCGTTCAACAGTAAGCTATCTACTCGCTGAGAGGAAGCGCCGCGACCGGCGCATCAGGGTCAAGATCGGGCGCTCGTAGGATGGTCCTGCTTCGCAACAGCGTCGTATCTTCGCGTTCATCAGTACTACTCGCTCCTCGGAGTATAATATGTTATAGAACCATGAGGCTTTCTCTACAATCGTCGATCCTGTTTGACTATCCTTGAGACGACATGCCGGCGGCCGAGACAGATCTGCAGTGCAGTAGTGCGTATTCAGTGCCCACACTCTGGACGACGTGGGATGTGGAAGCACAGTCGCTACGTAGGCTGCATGGTACCCGGATGCTTGTGTGTGCTCCCTCCCGCGCGCACCGATGTTTCCTATCGCACACGGCAGTTGACCGCCCATTCACGACAGACCTATATATGTTTGCCAAGACGTCTGCGGGTCCCTGGGTGGCTTGTCGCGCTGTTGATCATGCCTTCGCCAAGACGACCCGATCCAATCCACGTTCTTTCTTTTGCCACGAACTCCCTGCGGAATACGACCATCTCTAACAGTGATGATACGCTGTACTACGAAGTCGTGACACGTTTCTGGCATCCCCATCTTACCAAGATATTCAAGCTCGACAAGGTATGCGATGTAGTGCTCAGGAACTCTGATGAAGAAAACTCATGACCTTGTGACACAGGAAGCCCGCCAGATGCGCCTAGTAGGCGAGATCGACCGTGAGCCCAGTAGGGAGCCGCGCGTGCGGGTTGGCGGTGAACGCAGTCACTGGATCCCTCTCGACGATTACATGAAATGGGGCTCGAAGGGGAGGTGAGAGATCCGATCGTTCGCCTACACCGCTGGACGATTTACTCACACGATCTCGTTGATTCGAGTAGTGGGACTTGGGCTACACCAGAGGGTGACTCTTTTCGCTGGAAGAAGAACAGAAGGCGTCTACAGGCGAGTACCAGTTATCATCCTATGCGATTCCATATGGATTCTTACTTTCCTAAAGCTCTTTAAGACAGACGTCGCGGATGCAGCCACGATAGCCCGATATGTGCCGTATACTCGTCACTTCTACGTCCTGCTTGTGGATCGCCGCGCTTCACTCGAAGTGAAGGACGAAGCCTTGGGACACATGGACCAGATCATCAGTCGGTAGTGCCATTCACAGCTATCTCACGGCTCTGACGATCAGTCGTAGTGAGCTATCTGCTTGTTGAGAGGAAACGCCGTGATGAGCGGATGAGAGTGAAAGTCGGGCGATCGTGAACCAAATGTACCTGGGCTATGTAGAGTTGTCGCTGGACGATGACCGTGACTTGCGATATGCGACATTCCCATGTTACATGAAGCGTCTCGCGCTGTAGGCTACATGTGAAGCTTGTAGCAAAGGGTTGCGTAGACTCTCGTGATGGTGAGGAACGTGCTCACGCTACTAACCCGATTGCGTCACACGCTGCACGCTTGCTTGGGTTTGAGAACACTGACCGGGCAGTTTCAGATTGTACAAGCATGTATGTATAGCTGACGCCGATAGCGTTGAATGCATTGCCTTAGCGGGTTCACCTCGAACTGCCATCACACTCCCACCCACCAGGACTCGACTACAGCCTATCCGCCACTCTTTCAACCACTCGCACGCCTCAGCTATCGTCATGTCTCTGATCATCTACTTCATTGTTGGTTGCCTCGGCGCAATGATTCTGGCTCGCCTCTTTCGCTCTGAGAGGACCTGGTTGGCGCGCAGCGTGTCCACGGGCGCTCCGCGCCGGCGGCTTCACCCTCTGCGGCTGGGCTCCCGCCCTCTCGCAGCCGAAGACTGCCGTCTCCTCTTCCAAACGGACAGTCCACTATGCACCGCGATTATACCCCAGCTTCCCTTCGCAGACGGCCAAACGAAGAGCTCTCTTAGACGTTCGGTGCGAACACTTGCTTGCATTTATCACTCAAACAGACGGCTCACATGCCATCTGATGGTCGTAGAAATCAGCCCCGCTCAATCTCAAGAATGCAGGAGCTCTTTAGTGACAGCGCACGATGAGATAGACAAGATGATATAGACATGAGCACGCTGCACATGATGCAGATGAACAATCATAACGCGGTTACAGTGGTAGCACTTGACGATACCCGGACGACAGGCGAGCTGTGCAAGGAAACCCGTGAACCCATGAACGGCATCGTCCACGCCCGTTTGAGCTTGGGTAAGGTTGGGCGTCGTATGAGTTTTGGCAAGGCAGCGCGGGGAGACGTAGGTGAACGACCACACTCCGGCGCCTCGGAGCCCAGAGATAAGGTGCTTGTGCCCCGAGGTAAACGTGGCATGGTGGCTCGGCGCGTCAAATGCGGCAGGCCCAAGAGTGGCGACGAAGTTCGTCTATTGAGAGTTCTACTAGTCCCACTCTCGGATGAAGAGCGCGCTCGTGGCGAGAATGCCAGCTTGACTGCCGTTCGCATGCGAGTGACGCGAGTCGGTTTTGGTGGAGGCGAGGCAGTCGGCGAGGCGTTGATTCGGGGTCTCGCTGGTGTAGAGGATGGGATGACCAGAGGTCGAAGAGGGACCGGTGGTAGACCTAGCGCTATGCGACGTTCCAATCGCGTAGGCGGGCGTATGGCCTCCCAGAAGGCAGGACTGCGTACGAATGCAAGTATATGCGCGGTGCACTGCAGAAGTTCGTTAGTATAGACAGGTCAGGTTCTAAGATGTGAGGTGGTACGTACGGTCCATGCCTGGAAAGCAATCCAGGTGAGGACTACCATAGCTAGCAGAAGACGCTGATGTTTGGTGATAAGAACGGGCCGTTGTCGAGCGGTAACGCTTGAGTTCATGGTCGATAACGATGAGTTTGGAAGCGCTCTTGACAGGGTAAGGGTTCCGGATCGGAAGTCGTGTTGATGATACACCAAGCATTATATGCGAGGTGGAGAACAAAGCAAGCATGGTCTGTGGACGCCACAGCCGGCGCAAGTGGCGGGCAGACTGCGGATAATGGCGGGTTTGGCCGGTGGCAAAGGTCAACCACAGGATGAAAGGAACCACGAGCCTCTGCAGCGTCCGTTTGTTATGGACCGTCACTTGTACCTCGCGCGTACAGCAAATAGGTTGTGATGATTCACGGTCATCTCAGTACAGCAAGTACAACATGACGAACAAAGGACGCGACATCATATGATCGCATCTCAGAACTTGAGCGCCCTCCGATACTTGATAAACTCCACCAAGTTATCTCTCACCTCCTCTCCGCGCCTCTTCAACTCCCGCCCTCCTTCCTTCTTCCTATCAATCCCGCGTACTGCCTTTCGTACGCCTTCTGTGGCATCCGCCAAACGGCGCTCGAAGTTACCCTGGCGGAAGACGACATCGTATGGCCGTTCCTCGTCGGAGTATATGTCAATGATCGACGATGTGGCTTGGAGCATGGGCTCGGTGCCTATGGGCGAGGGCTGTGTACCGGAAGGCAGGAGGGATAAGAGGTAGTTTGCAATCACCTGTGGCGGAAAGGTCAGAAAGAGTGACAGAGGACCAAGCCGGGGACGTACACGATTGGCATCAATCGCATCTGGCCGCTGCGCTATGCTTTCCAGAGTGCCGATGACCTTTATCCGTATGGTATCATCCGATTGGGTATCACACAGCGTCATGAGCACTTTGATGCGTTCTTCGTCGGCGGGCTATACTATGCGTCAGTTGACGGTTCTGACTGCGAGCGAGAGACCAACGCACAAGCTTCCCCGACCATACCGAACCAACGGCCCAGAGCACTCCCACGGCAACCTCCCAAAGTTGCATCCTCCGCTCCTGCCCCAGACCACCCTCGGTGCCCGCAGCACTCAACGCCGTCCAAACGGCCTCCCAGACTCTCGTTCCCGCAGCAACATCCTCCGCGAGAGCCGAATTGGGGTTCGCAGCCAGAGCGAGGAAAACGTTATTCAGACACTCGAGCGCGGCGATATGGATGGCACTGAGCGCTGATGTAGTTGGTGGGTGAGGTGAGGGCGCGCCCGGTGGCGGGAAGGATAATGGTGTAGGCTGTATAAGGTCGAGGAGTGGCGATAGGATCGAAGGAAGGATTGAGGATGATGTCGCCAGAGGTGCGCCATTTGCGGCAGGCCCGTCGATGAGTTTGTCTTCGATAGGATCATCTTCCATTGCCTCGTCATCTGAAAGGGGAGATGTCAGCATAGCGCCTCAAAGAGAACCGGGCAGTGTACCATCTTCAGCTTTCTCGTCTCCAGCGTCTTTTTCATCTTCATCATCACCGTCTTCCTCGGGTGCAGACTCGTCAATGCCAAAGTCTGGGTCCGGGAGCGTGGCGCAAACGCCAGTAAGCATCTCCAGCGCAAGCTGAACGGCTCGCAAACGAGCCTCTATACGCTCCAGCTCGATCGTTTCGGGGGATTTGTGGTCGGAAAGAGCGCCCTTAATGGACGGCTTATCGACTGGAGGTGGTTGATCTGCCTGCGATTGAACGATGCGCTGCACAGACGCCGAAGCATCTTGCAGGGATGCGGACGAGATCACGGGCACAAGCACAGGGAGGAGAACCTCCTTGTCAACATCCAGCGACGCGAGCGCAGACGGAGGTGGGAAGGGATAGACATTGCGCAGTATACCTGAACGCAGCAGGAGCATTGTTCAGTTATCTGCCCATAGATGTGGAACAGGTATACACTTACCGCATGCCAGGATGCTGAGAGTGATCGCCTTCTCCTCTGATGCAGGCCCTTTCCCTTTTGGATCGCGATGTGCGCCTTGTGCCATGGCGATCTCGTGCAGACTTGAAAGGTATGCGAAATTCGAGCGAACGGCGTTGACTGCCGGCGCATTATCATCCGTCAACACATATAGGCATTGGGCTGGTGGCTTATTAGCTTTCGGTACACAAGTCCTCAAACCATGTCCTTACCGGCTGATGTGACGGTCGACAGTGGGAGCTTGTCACGAGCAGCCAAGAACGACGCGAGGAAAGGCACAAGGTCGAGTTGGTTCACGGCGTTCAAAGCCTTGTTAGACGTCTCCCTGACATAGTCTAAGCGTCCTAGTTTGGATGTATGAGACGGGATACTCACGATAGACACCATAGTATGGTCACAACGTTGTCGGCGAATGCATATACAAGCATCTGAGCGTTCTCCGGCGCGGCTTTTGGGCTCTCCAGGTATTGCGAGAGCATATTGGAGATCTGCAAGCGTATATTGAGTGTTTGTGACCTCCGATTGAGGCATCAAACTTACTTTGGGGATGAAGGTCGAGAGGGGAGCGAGAATGTTCTTATTATACATCTCCGCGCAGATATCATAGCCGCCGTCAATGCACAGGTTCCTAGAGAGCGTTGAGTATAGGCCACGCTTGGTGCTGTATTGAGACTCACCTGAGAGCCCCAGCAGCTTCCACTACGACCTCCTCCTCTGGATCGGACAGACGCGTGATCAGAGCGCCGACGACGTTCTTGCCCTGCAACAGTCGACGCGTCGAGGGATCATTGTATATCAAGTTGGACACGGCGACACAGGCCCATTGACGCTCAGCGGCATCGGCACTTCCCATCTGATAGAAAAAAACATCAGTATTTTAGATAAAGAGCCCAAGATGGCCATGCGAACCTTCTGGAGGATTGGCAGAATGGCCTCAGTTTTGGCGGAAGTGGATGAGGCAGAGGCGAGGCCTTTTGGAAGATGCGAATCGGGCACCCGCATCGGGTTATGCCTGCGCATGGATTTCTTCTTTTGTGACTTCCCCATGGCTGGAGCGATAGGGCGCGAGGATACGGGCGTTTGAGGAGGAGGAGGAAGAGGAGGAGAGACGCGTGAACGCGTTGCGCGACTACCAAATTTTTCGCACGTGCTCGCGCGCCTACAGGTTTGATTTGGCTTCCGACCACCACGACCCTCACCGAGATGTATTGTAGTCCTTCTACACACCGGCACGACCTGTCCTGGTGTCTCGCTGTATTCAAGATGAAAGCTGCGAGACTTGGAGTCACTTCTTAGTCTTCCGCGAAGCCCAGATATGCTCTCGTCCATGGAAGCGTAGTCCATGTAGCGGGACTACCTCAAGGAACACCTTCGCGCTACATCTGTCTTCCAATACTCCTGTATGCGCAATCTCTGTGTACAATATGCCATTAAAGCCATCTCTCTTCGAACTCCAAGTCAGACGTCCAACTTGAGTGCGCGTCGATCGGATGAGTTGCGTATCTCTACCATAGTGGTACGCTGTCACCAAGGGCGTTTCCTTGTCGCCGTTTCGACGACATACTGCGCGCGTTGGCACACCATAATGTTGACCGGCAGACAAGCAATCAGATCTAACCAAGGTGACCTCGACGAGCCTCGCCGCCTGATGTTTGTAAATTGAGAGATACGTAATCAACGGCGCAGCGCGCTCATGCCCTTCGCCTCTGCTTCAGGCTATGACCAATTGTACGAGAAATGCCATCCGCAGATACAAGCGGGCACTCGGACTCCAGCGACATTGTGCCTGCCGCATGTCAGGCAGATGCCGTCAAGGCGCGAGCCTCGAGGTTCGCAAGGCACCTACACGTGTTTTGACGTGTTGCCTGAGGATACAATGGTGATAATCTCTCGATGTTCAAGACCGACAAGGATGTCGTGAAGCATTACTTCTACGCCGGGCTGGACTTAACTATGGGCTCGTCTTAGGCAACCCTCGGCGCATCTAGCGCCCAACCGGAAGTCCGATGACGATCTCGGAGTGCGCGTCGACTCTCATGGCGTCCGTCCGGCCTGTAAGTGTTGTTGATAGTGCTGGCGTCTCAAGACTCGCACTCAGACTAACACGCCTATACACATTGGCATGCATGCCACCCGATTATGACGCAACGTCCGGGCCGCTCTGGCGATTGACGCTCAGCATATGAGCAGAAATACAGTTGAAAGCGCCGTACAGTCTATTCCCCGAGACTCAGATCCAAGTCGGCTGTCAGATAAGCCTTCCCACATGTGCAGAGGTGGACGTGGCCGGATGCGGCCGCGAGAAGAAGACCTGTGAGTATTCCCGCAAGACTGCGAAGCAGGATCTACTTACATCGATGAGATACCCCACCCAGCATCTCCCGCATCGATGATGGGCATGTTCAATGCGAGCGCAAACGTCTCATCCTCCCCGCATCTACGAGCTGGAACGCTGTTCGCTCCGTCGAATCCGTGATAAGTGGGCGCAGATCACAGTGGCTCATGATATTCTGTGCATGACAATGAGAACCCGCGGCCCTTCCAAGCCTCCCGCGAATCTGCCGCACGTCGCATCGTCCAGAAGAGGCTCCCACATGCACACGGCAAAATACCAGAACAGCGGGATGCTGCATCGCAAGAAGACCGTTCACCGATGCCTCACCGAGGCGCTCAGCGGCGTACATCACCTTACGATGTTGAGGGCGCTCGGCGAGACACAGCCGCGACCCTTTACTTGTTCGCCACCGTGCTCTGCATGCTTCAAACATTGCAGGCTGAGCGTCCGAGCGAATGAGGCCATAACACATGGTCTGAGCAGACGTACGATCACAGAAGGCCGGCCGGGATGAACCGCCGACCACGCGAAGAGTATGACGCGCCGAGGTTGGCATTCAGAAAAAGACGCCCATGAACCCAGATGGGAGATGGGACGACTTTTGTTTGTATATAGGCCTGAGAGTCCTGTTGTAGCGGACTCGATGCTCCTGCACCCCTCTACCGTACTAGCCGGTACTGCTTAACGTCCATTTCACGAGTCTCCTTTACGAACAACGATCAACCTCGCCGCCGTGATCGCCACAAGTCAGCGGAAGTGACTGCGGGAAAAGCAACCATCATCAATATCTCTATCCGAGATATAAGACCCGCGCACCGCCAACGCGCCCGTGAACCCCCTTTCCCCTCGTACGTTTGCCGAGCGTGCACCTGCCTTTCTGTTATCGTCTCTGTCCAGAACCCTCACATTCCTTTGTCTTGTTTTCTCAAGTGCGATCTGAGCCACCGCCCGGCGCCTGTCTGCGCCTTTCACATCGGCTATGCCGTCTTCGAAGGCCTCGGAGGCTACGACCGGCAGCAGTAGCTGGCTGGGTGCCAAAGCCAGCATGCACTTCTCCGTAGACCTCGAGTTGTCCTCGAGGGTATGGTTCCATCAAATCGTGGTGTCCGTGGGCGCCTACCTTGCCAGTGCGCTGGGAATCACTGCGGTGCGTACCAAATAATAACAGTCGCCAGTCGTTATACTGAATAGTACTATACAGAGTATAATCATGTTGTGCTTTGCACCACTGCTGCCTGCACCTCGACCTGNATACTGAATAGTACTATACAGAGTATAATCATGTTGTGCTTTGCACCACTGCTGCCTGCACCTCGACCTGCGCCTGCCGAACCTGCCGTGAAGGAAAAGGCACGGCGTTCGCGCTCCAAATCCGTCAAGCGCAAGAAGGCAGTTGCCGATCTCGCTTCCAAGGCTACGCCCACTACAGAACCTCTGCCAAAGCGACCCTCGATGCCGGCGAGGCACGTCTCTTTCCAATCTCAGGAGCCACCTTCGCGTCCGCCGAGTCCCTTCAGGAAATCGTCTACTTGTGTGCCTCGCCGCTCCAGCTCGCCTCCGCCGTCTCCGCGATCGAAAATACTTGGATTGAGGCGCCCATCATCTCCAGCTCGCCAAGCGCCTATAGCCATCTCTGACGACGAAGCCATAAAGAGTCCCCGGTCCGGTCAATACTCTCAACCTGCGTCACCAGAAGCACCGGGCTCGGAGCCACTTAGCCGCCCGTCTACTGGTCAACGCAAGCGCCCGTGGCTCGGCCTTCGCAGGGCGAATACGACAGCTTTGGTGCCCGAAATCGCCGTCTCGCCCATCGCCGAGGGAGAGAGTTCAACAAAGCCGTCAGGCATCCCCCGTCTGTGCGATTCGCTGAAACGCGTCGACTCTGCTGCAAGCAGTACGTTCGAGGGTTCGGGTAGCGCGGATGAGCATGGAAGCTTGGCGAGTGCAACGACGGTTGCCGGGAGCGTGGAGAGTGCAAGGGAACGCGGTCGATTCGGGTGGCGCCTCGCTTCGAAGAGCAGGAACCGGTCATCAAAGAGCCGCACGCGAGCCTCGTCGCAACCACGTCCCTCGACAGAGATGACTCCGCCGGTACCAGCCCTTCCGCCGCCCATTAACACACACGTGGAGGGCCCTCCTGAGTTTGTTCTCTCCCCGCTCACCGCGTCGCCAACGAGCCTGGTCCCGGACGCATCGGACGCGTTGCCAGAGGTGGGCACTCCGACCACTGCGGGATCAGCGCCCGCGGGTAAGGGCCATCGACGAGGATCGTCAGCTTCATCTGGGCGCAAGGGCTTCATTTCCCCCTTAACCCCGGGGACGCCGTGTTCCGAGCTGTGCCCTCCAGGATGGACGAAGAAGCCGCGGAAAACATCAGCGGGTAGCCCTCAACCACGCAATGAGAAGCCTGCTCGGACGCAACCGTATGCGTACCCGTACTTCGCACCACCACCAGAGTTGGGCGAATGGGGCGTGCGACATCCCGAGGTCGATGCCGCGGCTACGCGGCCCTCGGCTGTGCGGTAGCTTCGGTCGTCCGCCGCTCTCTTGTCTGCTTCTCGTCCAGCTCTCGCTCGCTCTGCCGCTAGATCTCCGCTTCGTCGCATGGAATCCATCACTGTATCATACGCATCGCTCTTGGTCGCTCTCATCCCCTACACTTGGGTTCGCAAGCCTTTACCTCTAACTTATCAACCTTACATGCGGCTTCACTGGTTTTTTTGCATCTTGCATCTCGCATACAGCGCTATCTTAACTTACTTCGCGTGCGCTTTCCATATGTTTTGCAATCCCCTCTCCTCTCCTACCTCCGGTCCTCTCTACATCCCTCACATCCTCATCCCGCGGTCACCCGCAGATATCCTCTCTGGTCATGAGCGAGCCACCTAGGCGTGCTCGCATACTAATACTCAATCCAATCCGATGTTTTTGGAGGTCTCCTGACGGCCAACATTCACCAAATTCTTCGCGTGAGGTGACTGGCACCCGAGCCGGACATCCGCGCGCTCGAGAAACCTTGCTCACCACTTGCTCCTCCTTCCTGTCACTACCGGCTACTCAAAAGCCGACATGACTATGAGTCGCAACAGCGGCGACTAGGTACGGTTCCTTCCCAACCATAAGATGAATGGGCTCTACCTTACGAAGACTCTTCCAGCTTTACCCGATTGAGATACACTTTGCCCCCGCTGAATATGGGAGCAGAATGATCCTACTCCGAGGTTCGTGCGGGCATGCACGTTTTGAGAACCCCAATCGCTCTTATGATTACTCGGCTGCGGACTTCTGCTACGGCAAAAGCGTCTGCACAGACAGGGGCTTCGTACACGTCGCGCGGAAACTGAGGTGGGCGCTCGTTCACCTACAGTCTGAGATGAACGACCACATTTGACTCGGGTCTCTCGTCTAGGCGGTGACGCCATCCGACACGTTCGACAGACTGTTTGGAATGCGCGCAGTAGTGCTAAGGTGCACTGCCAGCGAGCCCAGCATTGCGAGTGGTGCGTCCAAGCAGCTCAAGTATCCGAAACGCGCCTCAGGAGCCAAGCGTGTACGGCCTCCTTCGGACAATGCTTCTTACGTGCACTGTACACTAATTCTCCTACCAGCTTCCGTTCTACAGAACTATTCACCCTCGCATTTTGCTCGCAGAGAACGGAGGCAACGACGACAAAGCACGCATTGAAGGAAGCAGTTGAGCCCTTATGCGGCGGGGGCTGGCCCTCGGTCTGTCTTACGCCGCCCCGCTCCTCTTCCGATACGGCCGAGGCGGGAAATGATCGCTACCCGAGGTGTGCTAGGCAGCCCTGTCTCGTCCCTCCACAGCCAAAGGAATTATAAGATTGCGCGGAGACGGCCGCCGCCACATTCCGTACTTATCACCCCGCACTTCAATCCGCGAACTTAACACCTCCGCTTTGCCAACCCTACAACTGTTGGCATACTGGGACTGTACACTCTATGTCTCTCGAGCCGGTTGTATTCCTCTCCAGTCTATCCCGGCACGCGCATATTTGGCTTGATCTTTTTGCGGTGCGTACTTTCGACATAGAGAACACTTTCGAGGCTGACAGTAGCTCCTATAGCATATCCTCTCTATCGACTTCAACGCATTACCGTCAGCTTCATCTGGAGGTCTACCCCGTCGTAGCGCTTCCTGTATGGCCACCATGAATAGGCAATCATCCTCATCAACAACACCGGCACAGCTCGCGCGCTCACTCCGCCGCGCCTTGTCTGTCGGCCATTCTCGAGATGCGAGGCAACCACCCTCCCGCAGTACATCTGTACACTTCGTTGAGTCGCCCTCGGCGCCGCCTTCTGCATACGACCGTCGAGCGAGCCTCATATCTCCACGGCCATCGTCTTCTCGGCCGTCTATGCACCATCGCTCGGTCTCCGTCGGTTCTGTAGCCGGAAGTACCCTTTCACGAAAACGGAACTTCCGCCGGGCTTTCGCTAGTCCAGCTCTATCACCGTCGTTACCCGAGACGCCGCTCGAATCACCAGGAGCCATGTCTCCAGTGCCCTCGCCCTCAGTGGTAGGGGCTGTCGCGGAACGCAACGTCGTCGTCGTCAATGCCGGTGAACAAGCAGCCGAGATGCACGCCCAGATCGGTGTCTGGGAGGAGCAACCGCCGTCGCCGCACTGGGCAGCGTATGAGCACGCCGTCGCCAGCGTCGGGGTATGGGAGCACGAGTCTGTCGGTGGTCCGCAGAAAGACCCCTTTGCGACCGCTGCGCCGAGCTACATTGCGCACTCGCGGCCGACTGGAGAAAGACGCGAGCTCGCGGTCAACACGCTCGTCTCGAGCAATACAGCGTATATGATGGCTTCCGCGGCCGGCTCGCTCGACTCGGATTCGGCTACTCTCGTCGCCAATTCACCCGTATCAGCATCATCTCCCAGGGACAAGCGCGCTTCGATCGTTTCCGTCGTTCCGTCGACCAAGGCGAAATTCACGTCGCGCTTGCAGCGCGCGATGAGGAAATTGCGTGGTGTTTCGGTTACTACATCTTAGACCGCGTATGACTGCTCTACTCCTCTGACTGGCCATTTACCCTTACACTCCCTCTTATACACTGACTAATGTCAACTTGGACTCTTTCTCGTCGGGCTGGGTACAGGCTGAACGCCTGGTCATCGGATGTATTCTTATTACTAATTAATGTCGACATTGTTGAATATACCTCCAAGACAGGGTACTCGTCGGAGGCATCGAGAGCTACGTGATCCTTTATTTCTTTGGTTCCACTCCATGCGTGAGGGTCTCCGGGTTATGCGAGACGGTGTGCCCTGAACGCGAGTTGAGCCACATCCAGGCACGGGCCACAAACGTTTAGCTCACCGTGCTGGTCTTCGAAGACGACCTTGGGCGGGTTCTGGATCTTAATTGGGTTTCCTTCGTTGTTGTAGTGGTCAGTGTCTGCTTGGTCAAGGAGCACGTCTTCAACCTATCCCGACGAGTTCGGATGTAAGATGCTTGCGGAAGGAACCGGAAAGGGGGTGCCACACCTCGCCCGTGCGCTTGCCGCCGCGGATGCGCGTCGTGACCATGTCACCGATGTTGATGGGCTTTCCGGTCTTGTCGTTGACGGTGTTGGAGGACATGATAGTAGGGATAAGAGTAGACGTCCGGGTACTGGACGGGCGTAGGCGTAATATATTGCGAGGCCAGTAACGTCGACGTCATCTTGATCATCAGAGCTCCTCAGCGGTAGCGCCCGTAGTGGTAAGAATATACGTATGATGATAATTTAGGCAAAATATATTCTGACAGTAGCTTAAGCTGACGATACAAGAACGAATAGAACGCGTTGGCCACTGAGTAAGAGAGAAAGGACTGAGTTGGGAGTTAATTGGATGTATTACATATATGCGATGCAGCGGGAGAATGACAAGGGTATGGATTGCGTAGGAGGATGAGTGGACCCATTCAATGCTGAGTGTCCGTGCTATACAGGCTATGGACACGTGGAAGTAGTTGTCGTTGACATGACATGCCAAATGGTAGAGAGTAAAGAGGAAGTCAAGGGTCATGAGGTAACGTCACTCTTATGTCGTTTGTGCGAGCCAAATAAGCGACGTTTGCCCTTGAGGCTACCGCCCACAATTGGTGCAGCTGGAGGGGAAGCGGAAGAAAGCGGTGTGAGCGCAGGAGCTATCAGAGGGCTGGCGATGGGTGACGGCGTAGGTGTTGGTCGTTCTCGAAACGTCGCGGTGTACTGGCCCGCGTCCGGAGAAGCAGGGCTAGGGAAGAAGAACGGTGCAGCATACGGATCCGTTCGTGCCGTAGCGCGTTTGCTTTTGACGTTCTTCTCCTTCTCCCTACTCTTCCCTGTCTCTCTCGACTTCCGCTTCTCTTTCCCGGCTATTTCCCTCCCCAGAATGCAGTCCTTCTCCGATGCACGCGGACTCATAGATAGTAGACGGATGGGCTCTGGGAGGAGCGATGCTCGCATAGAGCGCATGCTGATCGTTTGATGACGCCGTGGCGGTGAAGGAGAGGGTTCCTTCACACCCTTCACCCCGCACATGGTCTGAGCGCGCTCCATGGGAGGCATGGACACTGGACGGCCGCGTGAGAGAGCCTCAAGAGTCGCCTTGCGGCAACGCTTGACAGATGACTCGGAGGCCACAGAAGTGGCATGGGTCGATTCGGAGTCCTTGCAATGCACTGAAGGTGCGGGCGACAAGCAGTGAGGGGACGGAGGTTGCGAGACCGGAGGAGTGTGCAGTACCACTCTTTCTATGACCGTGGGCAGTGGCGTCGTGACATTGGTGACCGGACTTCGTTCAGCGGTTAAAACGATGGCTGGTGTTGCCAAGGGAGGGCGAACAGGTAAGGCATCCCTCCCGGGCGCGGACTCGGCGAGTGGCGAGGCAGTTTTGGGAGCCGCCACCACCGTCTGAATGGGAATCAGCTTGGGCCGCCGCTTTGCGGGCTTTGCGTGTATCGGTTCGACTATCGCGGTTGGCGGTTTGCGTTGCGCAAGAGCAGGGAACCAGTAGACGAGGAGTACTGCCAATACGCTCTGTCTCGGATAGTCAGTGAAGATCTGGCATTTACGATTCGATGTACGCACCAGCAAGAAACCTACGACCGCCTCAGCGACGAGTGCAATCCGCACCGCAAGCCAAGGTATACAGTGTCGCGGTATCGTGGTAGCAACGACAAAGGGGCAGAAGCAGAAGGCGTGTGCAGCCAGTGAGCGATCTAACATGAGCGGTGGCATCCTCTGAAGGTCAGTTCAGTAGAGGCTGAGCATCGGTGGCACGCCTAGTGGCAGCGCGCGATAGATGATGAGATGTCGTCAGATAAAGCACGAAGGTAGACAATGGGCAGCAACGGAAACGTTGATTTTCGCCACCCAGTTATAAGCATGGGCAGGGAGCCGGAGGTATGATGTTCGTATTCTGTCAGCAAACGGGGCGGAAGTTCCGGACGCGTCGACGCGGCAACATCGACTGAGCACAACGCGTCTGCGTGTCTGATCTCGCTGATTCCGTTTGAATTTGGGCGTCATGAGCGCACATTTTGACTTGTCATCTGTGCGTCAACGGCCCGATACAGTACACGCGAACGAGATCGTCGGTGAAGTGCCAGGGAAGCCGAGTCAATGCTGAACGATGACCTTCCAGAGGTGCTGTCAGCAGCAATGCGTTAGCATCCGACGCGACACGACGGGTTCGGTCGGGCCCCGTCCACGCCGGGATCTCACAGTAGTTGCGAGCTTAAACAGCACGATATAGCGGAAATGGTGCATAGACGCTCACATGCCCGTATGGATGTATTCGGACACCCGGACAATAACGAGCCACATCGAAGCTGAGCCGTACATCCACCAGGCGGTGGCACGGAGTTGGTACGCGTGAGTCGATCCATGCTTGTCGCTAGCGGGAGTCTGAGTTTACCAGTACAGTGATTGTATTGGCAGAAGTTGCGAACGTATAGCAAGCGCCGAGATAGAGTCGAGGTGGAGTTGCGCGCTCGAGAGGCCGTAGGCCCGATCAGCGTGTGAGCTTGTGGGCGCACATGTTCGCGCGGTGTTCACACGTTGAAGTTGAGCAGTCTGACGACTTGATCACCAGCCGCCACCGCGTATTTGCTCACCTCCTGTGCCTGCACTCGCTAGCGATGCCGCCACGAGGAAACGAAGGGCTGGACTTTACGCCCATATTGACCCATTATCTCTTTCTCTTTACCTCCATTCTCGCCGTCGTACGTCCCCCACGCATTTGACCGTTTATGGGCCGCTAATCTTCAGCCTAAAGGTCGGCTGGTTCGTCGCGTTCATTGGCCAGATTGTAACAACAGCGGACTGTGCGTTTTGTACCCTACAGTTGTATGCCAGTTCTAACTGAACCGTCTATCTGTATAGTTGGCCGCGGTCCTGTTGGCGTATTATGGTTCGCCATCTTTCTCCAGTTGGCCCTCATCCTAGGCGTGCTCTACACCCTTGCGAGTGACTCCATTGCCATGAACCGCATGCAAATAGCCGTCTTCGGCGCTGTAGCCATTGTTTTCGCCGTCGAGGGTGTGAATCAGAGCATCTTTGCTGGAACAGCTGGTCAAGGCGCTCAGGGAGCAGGCTGGCTCATTCTCGCCATCGTCGACATCCTCTGGGTGCTCTACTTCACTGCCGAGGAGGACTCGCTCACCCTCCACGTCTTCAACATGCTCGGCACGGGTGGTCTCACGCCTCCCTCGCGTAGGCGACGTCGCGCACAGAGCGTCCACAACATGGGCATCAGCTCTGCCAATGGTTACGGTGCCGCGGGAACAGGCTATGCAAGTCCCGTGGCGCCGCAGGGGGGAGGAATCAACATGGGGACGTACGATAATAAGATGTCGACTGGCTCGTTTGGGGCGGCTGGTCCGGTGCGCTCGCAAGGATCATTCAATACCAATACGGATGGCGGCGCAGCACGCTCGATCAACGCGCCCGCACAAGGCAGTACACCTGGGCTTGCCCCAACTATGTTGCCAGCAGACATGAGCGGTGGAGTTAACAGTCCCCTCATGACTCCTGGTAACGCCGGTGTCGGCGCGGGTGGAGGGCCTGGCACATTGCCTGAGGATACTAGCTCTGGGGTCGCCGCTTCAGAACAAACGTACAAAGCGAAGGCACTCTATGCCTGTACGTATCTACTGATTCTACCCGTTAGATCGTACTGACCCGCCATGTCAGATACCGCATCAGCTGACGATCCGAACGAGATTTCCTTCGCGAAAGGCGAGATACTCGATATCATCGACAAGCAGGGCAAGTGGTGGCAAGCCCGGAGGTCGGATGGCACTCTCGGTAGTGAGTAGTCTGGCCGTCCCGCGTGGAAATATGTGCTAATCGCATTCTCAGTTGCGCCATCAAATTACTTGCAAATAGTGTAGTCGCCGAATTTATTGGCTTGACGCTCGCCACGACCAGACACGACCTCTCGCAACGCTCACCCTCGCACGCAGCCCACCGACAATACCGCTCTTCCTTCGCTATCACACACCACCTTCTAACCGCTGCAGCCTGCTATACTACTACGCATACCCCCGCCGGCATTGTATCCATCCCTGCTGCCGTGCATGCACGCCTATCAGCTCGTCCTCCCTTGTTAAATTTAGCTTGACTTATTGCCTCTATGTCTCCTTGCGCCGCCTTTGTCGTACATTCTCCCGCGTTTCCTTTGAACTCGGTCTTATTCTGCCTCTGCGTTCCCTTGCGTCTGTGTATGTGTGCCGCACAATCAATGATCATTGCTTGCGCTCTGCTTCACTCGAATCCCAGGGAGTGACACCCCGTATTCGACAGGTTGATTATATGTTCACCAACTTTATTGATAGATAATCTCCTGAGAATAGGTCGTCTTATTATACTACTGAATGGCGCCTGTGTTAAGGGCGCCTTCGAAGAGAGCTGAAGACAGTCGTTAGATAGTCGATCGACGACCAATGGCGCGCTCGCGCTCGGTTGCGCTCCTGAGAACGTGCGCCTCCCGGCATGAGTCGACCTCTCCTGAACCGCCATCTCAATACAACTTCAACTCTCTCTTCACCCTATCGATCAATGTCAGACCAATATGCCTTGTTCAAGGATGCTCTTGCGCAACGTGTTCTCGCACGCTCAACACCTTCCGGGGATGCAGATGGCGACGCACTGGACGACTTTTCGGAGTATTTGGCGTCCGAGCTTTGGCCTGTAATGCCTCAGGAGTTACAGGCATGCACATACGACTCGCAGCCGCCGACTGCTTTGGTAGAGAAACTGGATGACCTTGACTCCGATGCTCTCTCGAACCTGCCAACATCCATATCTGACTCCCTCATCTCGTTTGGAATCGCCGCAGACTGGGACGCCGCGCGCGCACTGGCTTTAGCTGCCATTCGAGACTACGTGGCCCAGGCTTGCGCACCACCTCCCGCTTGGTCGTCCACTCGTGCGACTGAATGCGAGCTCTGCGACCGGACTGTTCCATTGACCTATCATCACCTCATCCCACGCAGCACACATACGAAGGTCAAGAAGAAGGGCTGGCACCCGGAGAGTATGCTCAACAGCGTCGCGTGGCTGTGTAGGTGAGAGCTATGTGGATACACCGGCAGGATGCGCTCATCGAGATCTGTACGCCAGGCCATGTCATAGTACTGTGCACCATGTCGCCGACAACGAGGAGCTCGCTAAGAGTTTCTATACTCTGGACCTTCTACTCGAGCGGGAGGACATACAGAGATGGCGGAAGTACGCAGCTAAGCAACGCTGGGGAGTCAAGCGTGGATGATTCTAGGAACTGTTGTGGTCCAGGTGTGTTGTTCGACCTGTCGGTACTATGTTTACGGCCCCTGATAGCCTCCCAATACGAAATGTAATTCTATTATGCATGCATTATCACCATGCACTATCACACTGAAGCGTTCATGCACTCTTTCGTCTCTGGACATTGTTACTGCGGGTCGTTCAAAACACTGCCCCGCGGAATAGCCTCAAGGCCTGGAAATCTTCGAACGCGTCTTGAAGTTTGAATTCCCTGAAGGTCTTCAAACATCCGAACCCCAGATCGTAGACCTGCATATGCAAAATCTATGAACCGATGACGACACCTGACAACGTCGTCGAGCCGATCATACAGAGCTCCAAGATTTGTTGTGGCCATGATGGCCGTCCGGTGGCTGCGCCCGCGATTGATGCGCCTCTATGGCCTCCGAACGCCTGCTTCTTCCCTGCTTCGGCCACATCCAGCACTCGTGATGCCTCTGACAGTACGTGCTCTGATAGCGGTTGTCCCGTTTGTTTCCAGACATCCTTCTTAAGCTTGGGCGCGCCCAAGCCCTCATAGTTGTGCAGGTTGATCACAATATCACAGGAGTATGTCCGACCCTATCTTGTGAACATGCGGCTTCGCGCCTCCCTGTGCGCTGCCGCATATTCGGGGTGGAGCCCTCTTGATCTGCGCATGATGGCGGGCCAGCCCTCTACCTCTTGGCAAGAGGTGGGTGAGTTCGTCCAGCCTATAAAGTAGGCCAGCACTTCGCTCAGTGCTCTCCAGCTGTGCTCATCCCTCTATCTCTCAGGTGCTGGTTACCTCGAGCCCTCGTTGTCTCTCTTTCGTCCTTCGTTTCCACTTTCCACAGACCAGTCTTTCTTCGCTCTTACGACCTCACGACTATCTCCCCTACCACTCATCTACACTCGTCGATCTACATCACCATGCACGCTTCTACCGTTGCTATCGCCCTCTTCGCTGCCACCCAGGCTGTTCTCGCTGCGCCCACGCCCGCCAGCAACGCCCGCTCGTTTTCTGCTATCGGCGATGCTATCACCAACTTCGCTGAGGAGGTCGTCGGACCCCACATCGGGAAGCGCGATCTCGACGAGCGCTCCCTCTCGGCCATCGAGAACTTCTTCTCAAACCTCAAGCGCGACGAGAACATCAGCGCTCGCTCGATCTCCGCTATCGAGGGCCTCGTGGACGACATCTTCAACAAGCGCTCTCTTTCGGCGATCGAGAACTTCTTCTCCAACCTGAAGCGCGAGGAGCTCGACGCACGCTCGCTTTCCGCTATCGGCGACGCTATCGGCAACTTCGCTGAGGATGTCCTCGGTGACCACACGGCGAAGCGCTCGCTCAAGGCGGTCGGCGCTGCTGTGGCTGGCGGTGTCGCTTCTGGCGTCGCTGGTGCCATCGGCAATGCTGTCCTGAACAACAAGTATGTGGCTTCATATTCCGCCCAGATTACCTTTATCTGACCGCTCTTTCAGAAGGACTGAATCTGGCCTCATGGTCGACTCCGACACGGGCATCATCTATATGGATGTGCCCGACGCCAACGAAGGTCGCTCGCTCAAGGCTGTTGGCGCTGCCGTTGCAGGAGGCGTCGCTTCTGGTGTCGCTGGTGCAATCGGCAACGCCGTCCTCAACAACAAGCGTGGCGAGTCTGGTCTTATGGTCGACACCGAGACCGGCACGATCTACATGGACGTCCCGGGCACCAACGAGGACCGCTCTTTGAAAGCTGTCGGCGCAGCTGTTGCTGGAGGCGTCGCTTCTGGCGTTGCTGGTGCAATCGGCAACGCCGTTCTGAACAACAAGCGCGGCGAGTCTGGCCTTATGGTCGATACCGACACCGGTGTCATCTACATGGATGTTCCGGACGCCAATGGCGCGCGGTCGCTCAAGGCCGTCGGCACTGCCGTCGCAGGCGGTGTTGCGGCTGGTGTTGCGGGCGCTGTCGGTAACGCCGTCCTTGGTAACAGGGATGTTCAGGAGACGGAAGCCCGCTCCCTCAAGGCTGTTGGTGCAGCCGTCGCGGGTGGTGTTGCCTCTGGTGTCGCCGGCGCGGTCGGCAATGCCGTTCTGAACAACAAGTAAGCCTCGCAGTTTCGTATACAAGTTCTATTGCTCACATCTCCTATAGGCGCTCTGAGTCCGGCCTCATGGTAGACACCGATACCGGTGTCATCTATATGGATGTACCGGATGCACCCGATGCTCGTTCTCTCAAGGCGGTTGGCGCTGCTGTCGCTGGAGGTGTTGCCTCCGGTGTTGCAGGTGCAATCGGCAACGCCGTGCTCAACAACAAGTACGTACCCTCGCATTTAACTCGAAGTACGATGAACTGACGTGGTGTTACAGGCGCTCTGACTCTGGCCTCATGGTCGACACCGACACCGGCGTCATCTACATGGACATCCCCGACGCCAACGGTGCACGCTCGTTGAAGGCAGTTGGCACGGCGCTCGCAGGCGGTGCTGCGGCCCTCGCCACGGGCGCCGTTGCCAACGAAGTCCTCGGCAACGACAAGCGCTCTCTGTCCGCCATCGAGAACTTCTTCGAGAACTTGAAGCGCGACGACTCGGCGCAGGCGATCAACCACCAGATCAAGCAGGTCCTCCAGCGCTCCGAGCTCGAGGAGATGATGGCCAAGCGCGCAATTGACGATCTCGAGTAAACGGTCTCATGATACGAATAATGATTACTACTGGTACTTACGCCGCTGGCGGCGCTGTGGATTGGGGTTTCAAGAACATTTCTACTTGTAGGGCTCGAGTTGTATGCTAGCATCTGAATGGGATCGTACTTTGCTCAACCCTTCGTGTGATGCAGGCCTCGGCTGTCGCCCTATGCATAAGACCTGAAACCGTTTGAGGCTTGTCGCGGATGGAGGTACGGCAGAGCGCTGTACTTCTGATCTCTTGTCGTGTGGGAGTTAAACTCGGCAACGCCCGCGACTTGCCATTCACCGTGGACCTTGCAGTGAGCGTGCAGTCAACTACCACCATGATGAAGCCCGTTCACTTGAAACCACATAATCGCCCTGCCTGATACCTCGCGGAATGTGAACGCCGAGCTCGTACCGAAACTCACTGGAGGCACCTGTACAACCCATCATACAACTGAGAAGCTTGCGCGCGTGAATGGAATGAAATACGCGTTACGCTGTGCAGTCCTCTGCTGAACATGCAGTGCTTTTCTATCAGACATCGCTACTTCTTGCCCCGGGGTTATATATCACTCACTCGAAGTCCTGACCCTCATCGTCCCTCCTAGATCGTAATCATGTCAACCCCTTCGGACTGGAACACCGCTCTCGAGGTCTACACCAACACGACCGGCGTAGACCTCCTAGAGCACAGCTCCGCCAAGCACATTGCAGATTCCGTCTCGTCCGACGCGGTTATATCCGTCATTCAAGACGAGCTCGCCCATTGCGCGCAGTATCGCGCTGATAGTCCGGAATGGGAGAAGCTGCGCCGTAAGCTTGCGGCGCTGGCCAATGTCGTCTTCGAGTTGAACGGCGCACTTTCGGAATCTACAACGTCGGTGCGTGTGGAGGCTTCCAGATTCTGAGAAGTCGTGCTGACTCGTCATCGCAGACCATGCCTGGTGGGCAGACCGTCCTCGTTGCGATCTGCGATCTGACCACTGTACGTCCTTATCACAATATCACGACCTTTCGCCTTTTGAACCCTGTTCTCTAGGCTACCGATGGCGTCAGTGAGACCTACGCTGCCCTCGCTGAGCTCCTCGATAAGATCGAGCGCTCTCTTCAACGTCTATCCCCATCGACCACGGCATACATCTTTGATGCCCTCTTCGCAACGCTCGCAGTTCTCGCCATAGCCTATGACTCTGTTAAGGAAATTCCGCGCAGTACGTGCTAGCCCCTCTGAATCATGCATGGGCACTCAATTGAAGTCGCGCAGAATTGAACGATTGGACCGAAGCCATCTTCGGGGATGAGGACATGAAGAATGCGCTATCCCAGCTGGAGAAGGTCGCCGCTCGAGGAACTGGATTGTCTCTCGCGGGCGAACGGGCCAGTGAGCTCCTCGCACTCACTCCAAGTGTTGTACTGTCTACTGATTGTGCGCGTCCACAGAGCAGATAGGGAAGAACGCGGTTGACGGCGTGAAGAAGGGTGTTGAGAATGTGTATGACCTGATGCGCGGTGAGTTGTGCCCCTCAATGCGAACGGATCGGACCTCTCAATGTACGCGTGGGGTAATAGTGTCTCGATTGGCCACCTCGAACCGTGCGGACTCGCAGTCAACTGCGATTACGGGCACCAGCTCTCATGATGATGCGGACACGGCGCCAGCCTACGACGCACCTGCACTTGAAGTACCGGTAGAATCACTACTGGAATCACCGCCGCCCGTCTACGCAGAGCACGCACCAGGCCTTGACGCGTCAGGGAAGCCTTGGACCCAGGACGTCGTCAGCGCGTTCATCAGCGACCAGTGCAACACGTACTTGTCTGTCTTTAAACTCTTGGGCATATCGGCGCCTCAGGCGAAGGCGATCCGTGCTTGTGAGTCGATGCCACACGATGCCGCGCTCTAGGGCACAGCTGATAATGATCTATTGCACTAGACGCCGCACCGGATGATCAGCCCATTGGAGTATCGTTCGAAGAGGGTGAACATCTCGAGATCTTAGGCATGAGCCCTTCCAAATGGATCATCCGCAAGGCGGATGGTATCGCCGGCAGTGAGCACGTTCGCCTCACCCGTTGATGCGACGCTGAGTGAGATCATCTAGTTCTGCGAGGAACTGACTTCTTCCGGGCTCTTGAACTTGAGTACTTGAGTAATCCTGGCCTGGTGGGCTTGGAGGGAGACGCGGAGAAAGTGATTGCGCTACGTGACTGTGAGCGTCTCCAGATCGTCATCCGATTACCATGCGTTGACGTCTGGCGACAGATACTGCTTCGACAACATCTCACACGCCGGATGAGATCTCCTGCTCACTGGGCGAGATTATGGACGTTGTGAACAAGTCCGACGCGCAGTGGACGGTTCGCAAGACGGATGGCACCATCGGAAGTGAGTGACCCACATCCACCTTCCGCTCATCGTACAACTTGCTCAACGGTATCCTAGCTGTACCATCGGACGTCCTTCAAGTGATCGAGACGACCGCGGTTGACTGCACCGTAGATGATGCGGAAAAGGCAGTCCAACTACTTCAAGATGACTGTGAGTCCTCTCATGAATACGCTCCCGAGGCGTCATAATGACGAGCCGCTACGACAGATGCTATGGCGCTCGAGAAGTGGGGTCCGGGCGGCGCGCCCTGTTCTGTCGATTTTCTTCAGAACTTCACAGGCATGTTGAACGTGAAGAAAGCGGACATCGCTGCCGGCGACTCGAAAGACCTCGGCGGGAGTGACGCCCCTGCGTAAAGCTGTGTTGTTGCTTGCAGCGAAGGTTGTCACGACTCGTAAACAGAGTCACTGGTGCTGTATGTACGACACGTCGATTAGAAACCAACGTTATATCGGAGGAGAGTCTCCCATAAGACCTCGAGTACATGCTCAAGTGCTTATGTGCCTCAGGCGAGCTCGGTCAGGATCCAAGCGTACGAGTAGAGTCTATGAAAGTATCATCTACGGATTGTGGCAATTCATCAAGGTCGTCTTCTGAGCCACGTCCTTGCTGTGGCCAGGACTCGGAGATTAGATGCGGGCCGAGCGCCGAGTGGTTGAGATAAGATAAGGTTCGTGTCTCACCACGCCATGGCCATCATATTCGCCGCGCGCCGAGCTGCGTCTCGTCCTCTCGCGCTCTCTGCCTCCGTCCCGGACCACCACCTCCGTCCGCTCGGCCTTCTCGACGTCGACTAACGACTCGACCAGCACGCTCCCCGCGAGTTCCCCCGCTCGACAGCCGTCCTGCGCGCCCGGCGACCGAACACGCCTTGCGACGTCACCCCCGGCCCGCACCTCCGTGTCAGCACCCGGCCGACCCTACGACGAGCAGCACGCTCGGACTCCGATAATAATACTCTCAAAACCGCGCCGAAGATAGCGATATGGCAGCAAACGAGCTGAACGGCTCGAGCGCACCGGCACCTCCGCTAACGAACGGGGCGTCGCCCGAGGCAGGGCGTGCGCTGAGCGTGGGGGACGCGCTCGGGTACCTGGACGCGGTGAAGAAGGAGTTCGAGACGCGGCCGGACGTGTACAACCGGTTTCTGGACATCATGAAGGATTTCAAGTCTACGGCGTGAGTGTTTTGGTCGAAAACGCGGCTGGCCGTTTGGGCCGTTTCCAGAAAAGGAGTTTCCGTTCGTTTGTCTCTGACCTCCATCTCTCAATAGAATCGACACGCCGGGCGTGATCGAGCGCGTCTCCGAGCTCTTCTTCGGCAACTCGGAGCTTATCGAGGGCTTCAACACTTTTCTCCCACAGGGATACCATATCAACGCCGCACCCAACCAGGGCAACATCACCGTCGTCACCCCCCAGGGCACCATCGTCGCCAAACCAGGCGACCTCGCACACGAGTTTCGGATGCGCAGCCTGCAGGCGCAGGGACAGGCGTACGATAACATGTCCCTCATGCCCCAGCCAGTCCACCAGCAGGATCCCCGGCCCGTCACCCCGGTCCCCGCACCCGCCCCTCCGCATCAGCCCGCCCCGCCGCTGTCCTACTCGCCCGGCAGCCAGGCCGCGACGGTGCTCAACAGCTTCGCGCCGCCGAAGAACCAGACGGACGCGTCGGTAGCCATGGAGTTCTCACGCGCCATCCAGTTCCTGAACAAGATCAAGACGCGCTTCCCCGAGGACCCGGACACGTACAAGATCTTCCTCGAGATCTTGCAGTCCTACCGCGTCCAGCAGGCCCAGGGTGGCGAACACGACACTGCCAGCCAGGCCGCGCGCGACCAGAAGCTCATGCAGGAGGTCCGTCTTCCCTTTGATCATAGGGGGTTCTCGGTGCTAATACAACAAAGGTATACAAACAAGTCGCCACCCTCTTCCAAGGCCAGACAGAGCTCGTCGCAGAGTTTAAAGACTTTCTCCCCGCCGCACTCGCCATGGTCATGCCCCACCCGCCCTCGTCCCGCGGTGCACCGCCGCCTCCACCCGACAGCCACGGCTCGCCTCACAAGTCCGTGCCCGCTAAGCGCCCGCGCAAGCCTCAGGCGCCCAAAGCAGAACCCGTCAAGGCGGATCCTTCGCGCGACAAGAAGAGGCCGCGAGTGAGCAAGACCGCCCCGGGCACAAAGGGGCGCGCGCCCTCGCCTCCGCCACAGCAGCAGCAGCAGCCGCCACAACAACAACAACACGCACGTGGGGGATCGCCGCCCCTGGGCGCCATCTCGACCAAACCACTGTACGCGGACGAACTGTCGTTCTTCGAGACCATTCGCCGCGCACTCGATACGCGAGACGCGTACGACGACTTGCTGAGGTTGCTCGCGCTCTACGCTCGCGATGTCCTCGACGCACGCGAAGTGCTCGACCGCGCGGCCGAGATACTTCCTCCTACGCTCCTACGCACTCTCGGCAGCATGCTAGGCGAAGACGCCGCC